GCTGTGCTGTGCTGTGCTGTGCTGTGCTGTGCTGTGCTGTGCTGTGCTGTGCTGTGCTGTGCTGTGCTGTGCTGTGCTGTGCTGTGCTGTGCTGTGCTGTGCGGCAAAGGTTTGAAATCCTCATCAGGATTCCATCGTTTCTGCATCAAAAATCCGCTCTTCAGAGCTGGAAAGGTAAAAAGGAGGAGACTGCCATATTGGTAGAGATTGTAGATCTGCAACAAGTAGTTCAGGGACAGACATGACATCCCTGGAATAGTATACTATAGAACCGCAAAGGAAGAGCACTTGTTTTCTTGCTGCACTTGATCTCAGTTATCCGGCTGAGCTGTAGTTTTTCTTTCCTACAATCCCTGTACACCTTTGCAACTCTGTAGATCTGGATGTCCTCAGGTGGGACCGGGAGAGACAGGAGATTAAACATGCACCATGCTGCTTAACTTACACATCTGTGCCAGACACTGGGATGGAAATTCCCAAAGACAGGATTTGTGTCACAACCTCCTTCTGCCCCTGTCATTTTTCCTCTATCATAGCTTGCCACAGATAGCAGTGTCTTTATAAACCCACCGTGCTTTAAAGCAAATCAATGAATGCTTGGAATGAATAACGATACCTGTAAATGCATCCCCTTTTAAAGAATGAAATGCCCTTCCCACCTAAAATGGCCAACGATCAAAACGGATGACTGAACTGCATCCTTATGAATGAAGCTGAAAGGAAGGACCCATCCTTGGGAGTGGGGGATCTGTTACAATTCTTGTTTTAACACTTTGTTTGTTCTCACACAAAGGAAGACTGCTTAAAAGTTTCTCCTTGCCATCACTCCGTCATTCATTCCCTCGGCAGCCTGTTCTGCAGAGTTTGCCAAAGCAGAGTGTGCTAGTAAAGGGGTCGTAACAGCTTTGCTTTTGAGAAGCTGCCAGATGTCTTAACAGAATGTTTAAGCTCCAAAAGGATCGTGTTGTACTTACTACAAAATAGTAACAATGCAAAACATATTCACTGAACAGACATTAGCGGGCCGAAGGGAAGCAGCATGGTGTTGTTTTATAGCCCAGGGCTTTTCAACCAGTGGTACGGGTACCACCTGTGGTACATTGGCACCTGGCAGGTGGTACGCGACCATCCTAGAAAAGTAGTAGCGGGGGAGGGGAATAAGCTGAACCGGTGGCAGCACCGCACAAGCCTGAGTGAGAGATGGCTGGAGCTGCAGGGCTGTCAGGGCTCAGCAGAAGCCCCAGGATCAGTGCCGCTTTCCACCTGATCGGTGCTTCTTTGGGGCTGTCAGGGCTCAGTGGAAGCGCCAGGATCAGCACCAGGCTCCAGCTGGAGCTCGGCGCTGATCCTGGCGCTTCTGCTGAGCCCTGAAGAAGCACCAATCAGCTGGAAAGCAGCACTGATCCTGGCGCT